CGCCACGGCCGCCCACGCCCAGGCCGCCGCACGCGCCGCACCACACCAGCGTCTTGAGCGCGATCGTCTTCGTGCAGCCCACCACGCTTTCGTTGAACGTCACCTGCAGCGTCGTTCGCAGGTTCTGGCCCTTGGACGGCGGCCGCTTCTTGTTGAAGCTGAACGAGCCCTGCTGGCCGAACACGGCGGCCGACGCCGAGCTCGAAGATTGCGAAGAGAAGGAAGAAGAAGAAGACGATGATGATGAAGACGGTGGTGGTGGGTTGGTGTGGGGCAACGATGATGAAGAAGACGAAAACGAAGACGAAGTCGAGGTCGAATTGGCAGTGGAAGTGGAGGAGGAGGAGGTGAAGGAGGAGAACGAGCGCGAGGTGAAGGAGCGCGAGGAGAAGGAGCCGAAGAAGTCGGAGAAGGAGCCGGTGCTGCCCGAGGAGACGAACTGGTTGAAGACCTCGCGCAGGTCGTTGCTCTGGCCCCAGAACCGGGCCTGGTGGCTCGCGTCGTACTGGCTCCGCTTCTCGGGGTCGGAGAGCACAGCGTAGGCGGCGGCCAGCTCCTTGAACTTGGTCTCGCACTCGACCTCGTTGCCCTTGTTGCGGTCGGGGTGGTACTTGAGGGCCAGCTTGTGGTAGGCATGCTTGATGGCGTCGAAATCGGCACCGGGCGAGAGCTCGAGCAGCGCGTAGTAGTCCTGCTGTCCGCCTTGCTGCTGCAGCTGCGGAAGCGTTTGCTCGCCTGGCAGCGATCCGATCCGTCGCCTCTTGTGTTCCATTTCCGAGGAGCGTGGATGATTGATTTAACTGCTATAAGCTTCTACGCGCCAGCTCGGAAGGGGAGGATGCGTATGCGTGATGCTGATGGCCGAGTTGAGGAGATTTGGAGGTTGCGAATGTGCCGAGTAGCGCGTGAATTTTTATCTTATCGAAAGATTCGATTGCGGATGCAGATGATGATTATGATTGTGGTGGTAACGAGGACGCGTAGAGGTTGCCAGGAGAGAAGAGAAGACAAAGCAGAGCAGCCCGTCGATGAAGGATCGATGACAACCGACGTCTCCTCTCGATGGGGTCCGCGGTTTGCGCGTACGTTGCTCGGTACTCGCGTGGATCAAAATCCAGACAGATGGAAGAGGAAGCAGGTAGCTGCACGAGGAGAAGAAAAGGCAAAGTGTGCCTGCAACAAGCAACGAAGACGACGTCCACCCGACGGCCGAGCAGTGGTGTCCCCCCTCTCTCTTCGCGTCATGCCCCTCTTCCGTTCCTCCTCGACCCGCACCGTGCGCCCACAAACCAACAGAGCGAACACCCCAAAACTGACCGACGAGTCACTGACTTTTCGTCCCCTAGTCGGACTTTCTGCTGATTGGTGGAATTTTTCGCCTCCGAGCGATTCAGAGGAAATCCCGCGTAGTGGGCTCAGTTAACATTTTGTTAACTTCCGATTTTACCATATCTGGAGCTTGGGTAACGGCCAACCACTGATGAGATGAGAACCTCCCTCGTTGTGCTTACGTGCGTGATTGTGCGTGCAACGATACCGCGGGTCATCAACACTAGTGTCAAGTACTTCTTCTGTTCTGTTGGTCGTACATCGCCGGAGCTGCTGCGGTGTCAAGGAGGTCGGGAGGTGTCGAGACTCGAAGCGAGCAGCGGGCGGCGCGGCTTGGGTTGTGGCGTGCGACGGGCGGGCAGGGCCAGCGCAGGGCTGCTGGTGGTCTGTGCCGTGCCGCGCTCCAGTGGCACCGCCGCCGGCGTCGATTGTCTGTCGCACGGCATGCGCGATCGCATGACCGACACATAAACGAGAAAAAGCGGTGGTAAGGAACGGGCTGGCGAACAGTGCTCAGTTTAGGGCCGTGATCAGCTGCACGAGTTCGCTGCGGCCATCGATCTCCCAAGGGGTGAGATTGCGTGAGAGACCATCGTACCTCCGCTGTTGCGCCCAGTGCTGCGGCGCCGTGGCTGTTGTTGTGCCATGCAGGGTGTCGAGCACCGCGTTGTAGATGCGGTAGTACTCCAGCACGTCTCCCTACATAGAAAAGAAGACACTGCTTGTGAGGTCCCAACGCCTGGGCGTGTGCGGCGGTGCGTGTTGTGCGTGTTGTGCGTGTGCGGTGGCTGTTGTGTGGTCGCGGCAAGTCGGTACCCGGCCCTTGGTGAAGTCGACGAGGTGGAGGTGGGACGCCAGGCGGAAGATCTGCGCGCGGAAAGTGAGCGGCCCCGTGGCGCATCGGCCCGCCACCTTGAGCTTGTAGGCATCCTTGTCCACCTTGGCGTAGAGGTGGGTCTGCTTCTGCACGCGCACCACACACGACACACGCACGCGATACACGCACGACACATTAGTTCATCGGGCGCCGGCCAGGCGCTGAGAAATTACATGGTCGGGAGAAACGTACGGCAAGAGCGCGCTTGAGCTGGTCGAGGATGGCGTCTGGCGGCTCGGTGGAGATGAACTTGGTCTGGCTCGCCAGCTGGCGAGCTCTATCGTTGCGTGCGTGCGTGCATGGTGTGCAGTCGTGAGTCGATTCGGCGGGGCAAAAAGCGAGACGTGTGGCAGTGAACAAAAAAGAGTGTCGGTACCGCTTGGTGGAGGTGTCGCTATCGCGCTGAAGAAGACCCGACAGGTTGAGAGTGCCCATCATCCCAATCAACTCGAACGCGTTCGCTCTGAGAAGTACGACACCGACACCGAACACGACACTTCACGTTAGACCAGGGCCGCCATCGCTCCACGCGAGCGCTGCCCAGAGCCGAACGCTTGGCCGAGAGTCGGGAGGTTCGTACGTCTGAAGGCCTGTGCGGCCTGACGCTGAAGTGGTTTCCGTCACGACCTCCAATTCGTCATCCAGGTCCTGATGCCCCAGTAGGCGCGTGTGCATGTGCATGTGCGTGCATGAACGCGTGCGGTCGTGCGTGTGCGTGTGCGGCAAGACGTGTCATTGACGTCAACTAGCAAACAACGCGCAGAGAGCTGAGGTCGGTACCGCGAGATCCCAGGGCTCCTGCTCCACCGGCTCCGCGTGGTACGGATTTCTGAGTATGAGTGGTTTTGTTCTCAGTGCTTTTCGACCGTGACGTGTGTGTGTGTGCGCGCGCGTGTGTGTGTAGCAGCGTGTGCGGTGGTGCACGTACATGGCGAGCCACGGATGCTGCTTGATCTGGGCCATCGTGATCCTTTTTGCCGGGTCCGGCACCAGTATCCTCCCGATCAGGTCTGTGTGCCGCACACGCATCAAAAGTTGTGTCGAGCTCATCAGCGAACTGCGGCGAGCCACCGAGACACGCATTGCAGTGCTCGATCGAGCGTGTGCGACGACGCACCTCGAGCCCCGGCAGGAACGTGCGAGGGAATTGTGTAGTCGGCCTGGCGTGTACGCCCGGGCAAAGATGTGAGTGTTTCAAGTGAATCCAAGTGCGCGCGAGGGTGTGATGAACGCACCGCTTTGATCTTGCGGAACAGTACGTCTGGGTTGGAGTCCTCGAACGCCAAGTCTTTAGGTTTTGGATGATTTGGTGGTCAGCGCGTGTGGCGTCACCCGACACACGACACACGGCACACGACACACAACACACGACACAGTCCCAAGATAGATCGGTGAGAGTGCGTACGGCCGGCGACGAATGTGTAGAGAATGCAGCCGCACGACCAGACATCGGCCGCTGTCCCCTCGTAGCCCTGGTGGGGCGGGGGCGGCCGTGCCTCTTGTGGTCAGGCGCGCTTGACCGCCAACAGCACGCGCGAGCACGGGGCATACCCTTTTGGCCAGCACCTCGGGAGCCACGTAGTTGGGCGTGCCACACGCTGTGTGCAGCACCTTGCTCCTATCTCTTTCCTACACGACACACGACACACGACACACACGACACACGACACACACGACACACACGACACACACGACACAGACGCGCTTGTGAGTGCGAGGGCTGGTTGAAGAGTGAAGGAAAAGGAATGTTAGGTACGCGGAAGAAGGTGGAGAAGCCAAAGTCGGAGATCTTGAGGAGGCCCTGGTCGGAGAGGAGCAGATTCTCGGGCTTCAAATCGCGATGGCACACGCCCACCGCGTGGCAGTACTCCACCCCCGCCATCAGCTGCTGGAAGTACCGTCGCGCCGTGTTCTCGTCGAACCGCCCCTCGTGCGCTGTCGTGTGCGGTGCGACGATGAGAAAGGATCGGGGCGGATGACTCAAGTGCGAGTTGGTACCGAGTTTGAAGTAGACCTCGCCGCCGGCCACGAGCTCCATCACCATGTACAGCCGCTCCTCGCTCCGCAGCACCTTCATGCGCCCACGTGATGAGTAACAAAGACACGCACAAGCACCACCGCGCACGCACCACCGCACACGCACCACCGCACACGCACACCATATACGGCACACGACACACGACAGACAGCAAAGAAAGAGGCGAAGTCTCTCTTAGACCTGGAGCAGACGAACGACGTTGGCGTGCCGAAGCCTTTTCATGACTGCCACCTGTGCTCCCAGCTGGTGAGTCCACGCCGGCGTCTCGGATAAGAGAGAGAGAGAGAGAGAGCAAGAGACTGCACCTCACGCTTGGCGTCGTGGCGCAGTTCTGCGGCGGCGAGCGGCAGGATCTTGACGGCCACCGGCCTGCCGCGCTCTAAGTCCACGGCATATCTCACCCTGATATCAGGTGCAGTTTAGAATTATGGTTTTAAATATTTTATTGTTTATTTGTAATTGAACAACGACCACAGCATAACTCAAGATGCCAGGAGTAATCAAAAATCCTTCAACTGTATATTATTTATGATATTTCTACTTCATAAATAAAAGGAGCGTACTTGGAGTATTCGCCTTCGCCGAGTAGGCGGCCCAACTGGTACCGTTCGCCCACGATGCGCCCACCTCCAGTGGCGGTGGCAGTTACAGCCCCCGTGCTCTGCCGTTTGGTGCTCTCTTGCTCCATGACGCTCGTATTTCTCTTTCTGGCCTCCAGCCGGAACGCTGCGCAAATTTCGATTTTCCTTTTATTTTACGTGTCAGGAAAAAACAGGGCAATTCGGGCACAAAAATTTCTGGCATGTGCGTAGTGGCCTTCGCGGCAGGCAGCTCCGCCCAATTTGCCTCGCCCCCTCGAAATCGTAGCCATCATGTCGCAATTCCTGGTGCGCATGCTCCTCCCTTGCTTGCTGCCACAACAGTTTAGTCGTGTGTCATGTGCGCGGATGAATCATGATGGCAGGAGTCTGGTACATTTTGTAGAATCGCGACTAATTTCCATGTGAATGGTGCAGCAACCGAGCATCATCATCCTCAAGGAGGGAACCGATACATCGCAGGGCAAGGCCCAGCTCATCAGCAACATCAATGCCTGCATGGCCGTTGTGGACACCATCCGCACCACGCTTGGACCCCGTGGAATGGATAAATTGATCTATGAGGGCCGGAACATCACCATCTCCAACGACGGCGCTACGATCATGAAGCTGCTGGACGTCGTGCACCCTGCTGCTCGCACGCTGGTTGATATCGCCAGATCACAGGACGAAGAGGTACGCCCATTTCCTCTTCCGATCCCTGCCGCTCCATGCGGCCGATAAATTTGAATTGGTTCCTTCGTTTTGATCGATCGGCCTCATGTGAATTCCATTCGATTGCAAGGTAGGAGATGGCACCACCAGCGTTGTGGTGCTGGCTGGTGAGCTGCTGAAAGAATCGAAGGCCTTCGTTGAGGAGGGCGTGCACCCCACCGTCATCATCCGTGCCTTCCGCGCTGCCTGCGAGCTGGCAAAGGCCAAGATCAGGGAACTTGCCGTCTCCATCGATGCCGGCAAGGACGCTGCCACGTACGCTCAATCTCACCGATCTTGTTGCTTCATTTTCCAACCAAGCTGTTCTCGCGATTAATGTTGTGATTCCCTCTACTCATGAAAACAGCGAGATGCGCACCGTGCTTGAGAGGTGCGCTGGTACTGCCCTGAACTCGAAGCTCATTGGCAGCCACAACGCCTTCTTCTCCAAGATGGTGGTTGATGCTGTGATGCACCTCGACGAGGACCTCAACATTGACCTTATTGGTATTAAGAAGGAGAAGGGCGGATCCATGGAGGTACGCTCGTCCCCGCGTCTACGCCTCCTTTATTTTGACACCGCCTGACGATCCGCTCACTCGTGCTTGTATGCGCGCTCTGTTCTTGTGCTATCCGCTGTTGACGACGTGACAGGACTCGCTGCTGATCGAAGGTGTGGCTTTCAAGAAGTGCTTCTCGTACGCTGGTTTCGAGCAGCAGCCCAAGAAGATCCCCAACCCCAAGATTTTGCTGCTCAACCTCGAGCTCGAGCTGAAGGCCGAGAAGGACAACGCTGAGCTCAGGATTGAGGATCCCGCCGTACGCTACCCTCCTTGCTACGGCGTTACAGCACAGTCTCCTCGGTTGCGGCCGGCGCTTACTTCGGTTTTGCTTCTTCTTCACAGGACTACCAGGCGATGGTGGACGCCGAGTGGAACATCATCTACGAGAAGCTGGATAACATCGTGAAGTCGGGTGCCAACGTTATCTTCTCGCGTCTGGCCATCGGCGATTTGGCCACACAGTACTTTGCCGACCGCGGCGTGTTCTGCGGCGGTCGTGTGCCGCAGGAGGACCTCGAGCGAATCTCCAAGGCCACCGGTGCGCAGATCCAGACCACCGTCAACGATCTCAACGCGCCCATCCTCGGCCACGCCGAGCTCTTCGAGGAGCGTCAGGTTGGTGGCGAGCGCTACAACTTCATCACCGGCTGCGTCCAGGCGCGTACCGCCACCATCATCCTGCGCGGCGGCGGCGAGCAGTTCATCGAGGAGGCCGAGCGCTCCATGCACGACGCCATCATGATCGTGCGACGGGCTCGGAAACACTCGGCCGTCGTGGCCGGCGGTGGCGCCATCGAGATGGAGCTCTCCAAGTACCTCCGCACCCACTCGCGCACCATCAAGGGCAAGCAGCAGCTCGTCATCAACGCCTTTGCCAAGGCCCTCGAGGTCATCCCGCGTCAGATCGCCGACAACGCCGGCTTTGACTCGACCGACATCCTCAACCAGCTCCGCCAGAAGCACGCCCAGGGCGCCACCTGGTACGGCGTCGACATCACCAACGAAGGCGTCACCGACACCTACCTCTCCTTTGTCTGGGAGCCCTCGCTCGTCAAGCTCAACTCCATCACCGCCGCCACCGAGGCCGCCTGCCTCGTCCTCTCCATCGACGAGACCGTCAAGAACCCCAAGTCCTCGGCCTCGGACGACGTGCCCGCCCCCATGCCCCGCGGCGGCCGAAGGCGCTGAACTGAAGACGCGTGGACGCCACCGGCTCCCCAGCAGCGTAACTAACGACTGCTGCTGTGCGGTTTTGGCGCGTAAGCCAACAAAACAATAAAAACAAAATAACCAAAACTGGGCGTTGGTGTTGGGTGGTTGCAACATGGCGGAATGTGGTAAGCTGGCCAATTAAGTTTGTTGTTAAAACCAAGTTTTAAGGCGGCTTCCGCCAGTAGCGCCATTGGCCACTGAATCGGATTTTTGTAGACTGATGGCGCAACACTGCGTCACAACGGGAAATGGAGAAGAAACTAGTTTTGTTCATCCTCGCTGAAGATCTAGATTGGTGTGTTGCGCGGTGTAAAGCAGGCTGTGATGCCATTTCTTAAGTCGCGATGGTAGGGGGGTCCTGTGGCCATGTACAAGTGAGATTCGGTATGTAGATTTGTCAATGTTTGATTGAAATTGAAGTACCTTGGCATGGGCTTTTTGATGGTGTGTGGTTGGTGGTGATGTCGCATATGGGCGAGGACGAGGTCGCGGTCACACAGGGAAGCGCAGATGGTGTACATGGAGCTGGCACCTTGGTGGAGGACGTGCACACGGCCAATGGTCCCTACACAGAGGTATGTGAGACCATGTGCGAGACAGTGGTGAAGTTTTCTGTACCAGTGGTGCA